GAGGTGGTTCAAGCACCTACATTGAACACCTTCAAGAGTAAATTGGATGCTTATCTTGCTGGGATCCTATGACCCCAGCTGACTTCCTGCCCTTTGGGCAGGGGGCTGGACTCGATGATCTTCCGAGGTCCCTTCCAGCCCTAATGTCTATGAAATCACCTGTCTGGGGTCTTGTGAACCCAGCATTCATTCCTGCGTGTGGCAGGGGGTCAGGCTAGATGATCTTTTCAGGTCCCTCCTGACCCTAGCTACTATGAAACTAGGAAGCGCTCAGGTTTCTGATACCTCCAAGATGCCTCCATAGAGCTCAGTCTGTGCTTGTACCCAGCACTGTTACCTTGTTGAGGCATCAACATCTGGTGCATGCTTCAGCAGTGTTGTCCTGTAGTCTTTTTTTTTTTTTTATTCAGGTAAACTGTGATCAGGGCAACTGCTTCCTCCTTCCAGCAACAAGGCCATTGCTTGTGAATTGCCAGGAGTAGAATCCACATAAGCAGTCTGGGCAAGGAAGGAATGGTTATCCTCCATTAACCACAGCTCTTTTGAGATTTATTGTCCAGATGTATCCTCAGATCATCCTCCTAGCTCTTTACCACATAGTTCTGTAGCATCTGCATTCTGCACTGGGAAAGCAAGGGTAATCAAGCCGGCTCTCCTGTTGTGCCTCTGGGTAGGGGGCTTTTAACAATGAGACACTCTCGCATGCTTGGAACATGTTTACACCAGAAGTGGAATCCATGTGGACAGCATGCTCCCAAGAACCAGTTATTGCTGGGTAAGTCACTGTTCCTTTGTGAATAAATCTTCAGATAAAACCTGAATTTGGATTCATAAGAACATTTTTAACTGAGGTTTTTCTTTGGATTAAATATCTTCCTCCAGCATTAGGATGCTGTAAGAGGATTGGAATATAGAACTAGTCTGTTTTCACTTTAGAAGATGAGTGAAACAAGTAAAGGAAATATGCTAATTCTTGGAAGCATATTAGATTTTTTGAAAAGTTTTGAATCTTATCTTGAATGGAATAAATCAAACCTTTTTTTAATGTAGCATGACAGTATCTCGTTTATTTGTCTGTTTGTCTGACAAGCTGGTGAATTATGATCTTTTTCAGTTGTTGGATTTGAAGTGCCAGACAAGTTTGTTGTGGGATATGCCCTAGATTACAATGAATACTTTCGCGATTTGAATGTAAGTAATTGTTTTGTTTTTTAATCCCAGGGTGGAGGAGGAAGGCAAATTCAAATTTTTGCCTATGAAAACTTACACTCCTGTGCTAGCCTGTTCTGTTACTGATGCATAGTGCCTAGGGAAAACCAGAACATCAAAACCGCTTTCCAGTGCAGTAGTCAGACCTAACCTAGGCTCTGTGAAGAACACAGGTTGTATGTCCTCTCCTGCCTAGCTGTGAAATATTGCAACAGCTTTGGTGAGAGGTTTCTTGTTCTCCCAGCTGTTTTACAAAGAATAAGTCTTACTGTTAGTTGTGGAGTTAGAGAAGAAAGATCATGTGGAATAAGAGTTAACTATTAAGTTGCCTCTAATTCCTGAATTTTATTCTATCGATGGTAGGCTCTGGAATAAAGAGAGTTCAAACTGTGATGCAAAATAGACTTGAAAATTGCTTTCTATAAATCATCTTGTTAAATTACTGAACAATAACAGCAACACTAAAACATGCGGTGCATTTTTTCTCAATGGAATCACAGCATTGAATACACATCTAAAACTCCAGGCTCTTGGTCCTAGGCATTAGTTTTCTAACATGAGCTTGTTTGTTTTGTTTCAGCATATTTGTGTGATTAGTGAGACGGGCAAACAGAAATACAAAGCATGAGACGCTGTTCAAGTGCTATGACAACAGAGCTTTGAGACATTTTGTTTACCGAGTCCTATCTTTCACAGGCTTCAACTCCAGTACACCAGCTAAAGCTATAGAACGAATGTTCCAGCCTCAGTGTCATATGCTTACTCTAACTTATTGCATGTACAATATAAGAATCTTGTCCTGTTCGTTTTTATTTTAGAAATGTCAACCAGTCAGTGCAGTTCTGCACTCCTTATTTTGATTTGCACTATCTACCGACTATCGCTGCCCCTGGATGGGTTGTGCTGTTTGTGAGCTCCAGAGTTTAACTCTTGACGTGGCAAATCGCTTAAACCTCATCAACCCAGAACTGAACTAGTTCTTGTACTGTAAATGTAAGACATTTTATGATAGGGAAGTCTATTATAAATATTTTTTAAAAAAAATCTGTAATTTAAGTTTTATATTTTAATTACTGCACAGAAGTGATTGTGATTATTGGGTAGTTGCACCCTGGGGTGTTAGAAAATATGAGGAGCAGCCAATTACAGTATCTGTAATCTCCAAGGAGTTGACCACATCTCCTGGAGTTGCCTTATTGCTGGTAGAGGAAGGCTGAGTGAAAAATGTCATTTTTGGGCTGAAAGGAAGTGGAATAACAAAACAGAGTGTTTAAACATTAGTTTTAATTAGACTGCCCATTTCTTATAGATCAGTTGTTCTTTCTAATATTCATCAGGCAATGGAATTGCCTTCTAAAGATAAGCAATTGTAATATTTTACAGTTGTGAAAAAATATTGTAATGTTTGCTCTATGTGATCCACAAAACAAAGTATTTTAAATAAAGGCTGTCTCTTTAAAAAAAATGGTATACACCTACAGCACTCATTCTATGTATTAAAGTGCTTTTGAAACATGCTTCTCACTAATGATATTTTATCATAACAGTCTTTCTAACAGTGAAGGCAGACTGTACATTTGGTGGCTTTACAGAGTTTTCAATTATATGCTATATATATCTATATATAAAATACTGGGTGAAAAATATGGAAACGCTTCTATGTTCTATACCAAACTAGATTTCAGAAAAAATGGTGTTTCAACACAGTGTTTCCTTGTTCTGCTTTAGCAAAGTAAAGAGTGAAAATAAATGTTCATTAAAAACACCAACTGAAAATAAAACATTTTGTGAGTGATCTTTTGCTTCGTATGTCATTTTGTTGAGTTGTCTATGTGCTGTCGATACCTTGAGAAATGCAAGAATTCTTCTACCTTACTCCAGAGACCGCCTTTCTGCTACGTTTTTCAGTCTCTTGACTTTCACAGTTCTTGTACAGTGTACGTAGACTATCACATTGCATGGACTTTACGAGGTTCAGTGCATAATATGTAATGTTCGTTTCTTAACAGGCAAGCTCATTTAAATTTATTTGCATGTTTTGGAGAGAGGTTTTCCCTTTTGACATTTACTTGTGTTTCCATATTTTTCCCCAGTACTTCACTTCCTCTGAAATGTAATGTCCATGCATAGTGTGTTCTGCTACAGGTGTACTAGTCAATTGGCATAACTAAAACATGTATCATCTACCAAATGAAGCGTACACCTAAGTCATAGTCAGTAGATGATCTTTTGTAAACCTCAGGTATCACTTAATGAATATTATAGTATGGGTTGTATGCAACTAAATGGTTCTTTATGTTGTCCAAGTGATAACAGTTTTATAGTTAACTTTCCAAAGAGTTCCTCTAAGTCTACTATGCAGAAGGTGACTATATGTCATTTTGCAATAGATTATAAAATGGTGTCTGCATATTCTGTCCTTATTCCAGGACAGAAATTGGCCATTGGAATTTATCTTTGGGCATAGATGGTAGGTTCTGTAGTGCTGGAAAAGCACAAGAGAAGCAAAAGAAATATTTGAGCAGATACATTGATAAAACCTCTCAAATTATTGTACTTGTAAGGTCCTGGTTTAGTGCAAACAATGTAAGGTATGAGCCTGTAAAATACTTAGCTGCCTCCATTCCCCTTGATTGAATAATAGTTCCCTACTTCACAGTGGGGCTCTGAGCATAAATCTATTAACATGTTTGAGGCATTTGGTGACTACAGTGATAGTGAGGGGCAGAGGAGAACCTGCCAAGATAAAGCACGAGAAAGAAGAGGTGAGGGTATTCAGCAGGCTGTGTAGGATTAGGTTATAAAGCAGCTTGCCCCAAAATATTCTCCAGTCTCTACAGATTTGTGTGTGTTCTCCACGGCTCTGGTATTTGAAATTCCTCTGAAACGGCAATGGATTTATCTTCAGTACCCTTGAGAAAAGTGGAGATATTATCCTCATTTTACAAGTGGGGAATGGAGCTGCGTGGAGATTGTCATCTGCTCATGGTCATGAAGGAATTCTGGCAAAGCTGGAAATGGGCTCAGGACCTTGAGTTTCATTACATTGTCCTAACTACTTGATCGGCCTTCCGTTCTCCTGTAGGGCCTTCGTCACAGGGCCTTCAGATTTTAATTCATTTAGCTGTGTGTGTGGACTTGATTGGCTATTACATTTGCAAAACTCTTACTTCAAAGCTTGTTTTTACAGAATTTGAAATACTAAAAAATGAGATTTTTTTTTTGTACTTTGTATATAAAATCTTGTATATGGCATAGATGAAAACTTTTTTTATCCTTCCTAAGTGCTGTTCTGATTGAAAACTTTATGTCCTTTATTTTTATTACAAGATACTGTTCAGTACAAGAAACTTACCCAGCAGCTTACCCTAACTAGAACAGTTCAGACTTACCACAGTTTAGGATTTTTAAAACAATACATGTATCACATTGAAATAAATTACTTATTCCTAACCTGAAAACAAATGGAAAATACTTAACTTCATAGTCTTAGTATAAAGGATTTTTTTAGTTTTGTCTCCAGCTTAAATACGCACCTTCTGTATCCCAAATACAGGCTGCTGAAACATTCAGAAGTATACAGAAAACCTCGTGTAAACATTCATTTAATTTGAAATTGAGTATTGTTCCACATTTTATGAAGCCTAAATGTATGCCATGAAAGGATGATTGGTTTTGAATGCCAACAGGTAATCTCGTCTGCTTCAGTAATTTAGTGAGTTTTATGTTAATAATTTGAGTCATGGGGAAGTTATTTTGCTGCTTTAACACTACAGATGTACATTTCTATGGCATGGAGTTTTTGTTCTTTTTATGCTGGGTTCATTGTTTGGTTATAAGTGAAAATATTGTAAAGGAAGCTTTGTGGCTTGACCAAATACCTTTCTAAAGATTCAGTGCAGTTTGGTTACGGGGGTCTTTTATAAATTATTATGATAGAAGAAATCCTTGGGGATCCAGGGGAACAAAAAACATTCATGTTGCCTTGCAATCATACATCTTAACTGATTAACTCCACAGCCCTTGCATTTCAGCCTCTGCTCTGTGTTGGGTCACAAGTGCAGACCTGAGGAGATGCAGGTGTAGTAAGGTGTTACAGGATGATGCAGGGACTGATTCTGCATTCCCATTCCAGTGGCGTATTGCAAGCTCGGGCCTCAAAGGTGTTCCACATGCTCTCTGAGTGAAATGAGAAGACATGTCCATAGGTGGTGAAGCTATTTTTCCCCTCTGTCTATGAATTAACCTTAGGAGGGTTTGAATTTGTTTCAGAAGCAAAATGCAGGTTTGAGAACCACTTCTGCTTGCAAAATAGTTTCCAGACTCTGTAAGGATGCTGGTATGCAGCTGGGTCACAGACCTGAAAGACACAACTCTGGGAGTGGCAGAAGCTGTGTGAAGACTGGGGGGGGATGGGCATGTGAAGAGACAAAGGTGAGGTTTTATTTTTGTTTTTTTAATGGGGAAGTTGCTTTTAGGGAGGGAATAAACTAACAGGAATCAAGTAACAGCTGTCTGGTGTCACTTGGGCTGGTGCCTGGACCAGAGCTGATTTGGATTGCTAAAAACTCTTCAGGGCAGACATGTTTTTGTTACGCTTCATCCTCTTCTCAGTTCATCAGATGCTGAGGCTTTAAAACATCTCTGAAGCACATTAAAACAGAAGCAGGGCAGACAGTAGACCTCAGGTCCATCATGCTTTGTTAGTCCAGATGTAAATGCATCTACCCTGTCCTCAATAATTGGCATTTAACTAACATCACTGGACGTTGCAGCGGAAATTCGGTGTCTTCAACTAGTTAATTCACCTGCCAGCATCTTTTAAATAACCTTCAATTTGCCTCCAGTGAATTGTTCAGTATAGGGTTCAGGGTTCGAGGTCTCTTCCATGCAGCATGTGTGTGTGAGTAAGGGTCGGGGGATGGTTTTGGTGACTACAGTGATAGCAAAGGGTGAAGGAGACTGCTGAGATAAAGCATGAGAAAGAAGAGGTGAGGGTATTCAGCTGGCTGTGTAGGATTAGGTTATAAAGCAGCTTGCCTCCAAATATTCTCCAGTCTCTACAGATTTATGTAGGTTCTCCATGGCTCTGGTATTTAAGTTCTTCCCAAACAGCAATGGATTTATCTTCAATACCCTGCACTTTCACAAGGGCAGCCAGAAAAATAATAAATAGCAAATGTTTTCTTGGTTCTATATGTAGGTCTACTTGTATTGCCAACCATAAGCACACCTGTCTATGGAAATGTGGCTGTGTGGCATCCATCACCCAGTTATATCACTTGAAATAGCATTGACTCCGATGGAAATGCCACAGGATATTAATCAGAGCAGGATTTGGCCCAAACTATTGTAATCTCGCTATATTAGCGGTAACACGGTAAACCAAAGTCACCTGGAGTTGGCACCCTCCCAACATACTTATTTCTGTTTGCTTAATCCAGGGGATGCTCAAATGCCCGTGTTACAGCGTGGGTGCAGTCGTTGCCGGTGCAGTTCCAGGAACGTGCCTGTGCAGTCGCTGCATTTTGCAGAGAACATCGCCCTCTGCTGAACACTGCCTGTTGGAGACGTGGTCAGGCCAGATGGGCAAAAGCCTTTGGGCAGGATTTTCACGAGTGCTCCGTGTTGGCCCAGCTGCGCTTCTGCTGCATTTGAGAGACAGTTCCCAGTGACTTCAGGAGGAAGAGGGTTAGGGTTATTGGCAGGCTGAGCACTTTGGGAAAGCCCAAACAGCCTTGGGGCAAAATGGGTGCTGTCACGGAGCCACGGAAAGAGACGCTGGAGAGGATTCCCTGGCTCCGCAAAGGTTGACCCTGAGATTTTCCTAGGGCTGGGTGGCAGTCTGAAAACAGAGTAAGGATTGTGTCAGTTCTGTGTTACCATATTCTGGTGTCAAAGCATTTGATTGCTTTTTCTTTCCATGTGTAGTAAACCCTTCTGTTCTCTCTGTTGCTTGACTTAAATGCTTGGGGTAAATTGTGATTTCTGGGCAAAATCGTAAGCTCTGCATACCCATTCAGCAGGGAGGGGGACCCATAAGCTTGCACACACCCCAGGGGAGGGGGTTGTCTCTGGGACCATCCTGACACCCCGGGGTTTTGTCCCAGACGCCATATCCCTTCCAAGGAATTATTTTCACTTACAGAAGAGCAGCAAAAGCCAGATCTTCAGCACCATTCAGTCTTTTTTTTTTCCAATTTGTGACCCAACCACTCTATTTCTGAAGTTTCCAACAAATAAGCAGCAATAGGGTGTGCTAACCGTCACAGAGGGAGGCGCCTTTGAAAAATGGTCCTTGCATTTATCACAGGTTTTTCCTTTCAGCATGTCTCTTGGTTTCTTGCTCCTCTCTTCTTTCTTCCACTCCCAGAAACAGGCAAAAATATTCTAACTAGAGGCATTTGACCAAAAAAATAATTTCATATTAGGAAGGTCACATATTGGATGATGTAACTTTCCAGGTTCATGGCAGTATAAGCTAGTTGGCTTTCTTGCTTGCTATGGATTACAGACTACTTGGCCTATGGGCATCTTTCATCTGGCTTCCTTCCCCTCATCTCTGATACATCTCCTTTTGCGCACTCAAGGAAAAATGCTTTTCTTGTGAGAGGTAAGGATGTGTTTTTGCTTGTGCAAATGTACAGTGAGAACTTGGCCTCTATCAGATGGCTTACATGAGAAAAACCTACATGGAGTTTTTATTTGGAGCGATGCTCTGAGGCTGAAGCCCTCGGTTGTTTGACTGGAATCCCACCTGTGTTCAGGAGGGGGGTTGTGTGAAATAAATGCAGC